AGTGCACAAAGCACGCACACACGCGCAGATACTGCTCGCTTTCAATTCCGAACCCCGACGACCGAGCTGTTCCGCCGCATAACAACCTATTCATGAAAAGCAAAAATGTCTCAGGCTCCCGCCTCCAAAATACACACGGGACACGGCTGGAAGGTGCAATCGCCTCTCGCAATCTGAAATTGGAAACGCGGCCAAAGAATACAGTGGAGGAGGCGAGTTATACCACAGAAGCCCCCGCGCTCCGTAAGCTGCTGCAACTGTGCAAACAGCTAACCTGTTAACGTCCAAAGCAACAACTGCTTCAAATTATAAAAGTTCATGAAAACGCAAATCAAAGAAAACGTTTATAAATCCACTGCAGTGAAAAACTTTTTTTTTATTATGAAAATAGTTGCAGTTTGCGCTAAAACAGTTTTTTTGTGCAACGCTTTCAAAAAAGTTTCTTTTCAGGTAAAACTAAAAAGCATCAAATGCACGATTTTTTCCTGAACTAATCCAGACTATAAACGCGGATAAATGGATTCTGTTAAAAATAACTTGAGACGACTAGCGGTATATCAAGGAACAGCAGCGCATACGGATCATTCCTTCAACAAATAATGAAGTCCACAGTTTAAAATCCCAAACTAAAATAATCCTGGAAAACCAGCCGGGTGTTGGCTGGGAATAAAGTTAACTTTGTCTTATTGAGATCCCTCAGAAATCCCTCCTCTTTGAACAACCGGAGGCAGTGATGGACGGACTGGTGCACAGGCTGAACTGGTAAACACATTCATATGGTTCCAGCTGGTAGCCCAGTGCACACTGAAGCCAATATTTAGTCAGAATAAAAGAAAAAAACAACAACTAAAAATACTAGAATCCAACAAACCAAATGTTTTATTCGACAAAGCTCCTCAGAAACTACCAAACAGGACTTTGTACCGTCTTATCTCATGCCCCACTCCGGGTAGGGGGCACGGAAATGAGCACCATCCTGTCAGAACTATCGGAACTCTAGATAACAAGGTCAGGTTAATACAGAGCACATAGAGTTCAGATCGGAGGAAAAAACACAAAGAAACTGATCAGATTAAAACAAACAAATAAAAAAATATCTGTATGTTTCGTAACAGGAACAGATGATGACACCTGTCAGAAGTCTGAATGCAGAGAGGAAGACAGATTCCACGAGTGGGATATTAACAGCTTGTTTGAATGCATTATTTTTTTAAAATGGATAAAGGCCGTTAATGGTCATAGAGACAGAATGCCCGAGAATATACGTTCTTTTTTTCCCAGATTCAGAATCGGACACCTCTTTATCACCTGATCAATATTTTCCGACCAATATCAGTTCGATATCAGCAGTTAGTCGTTAGTATGGTTCAGATTCAGGCCCCCAAAGAGAAACACAAGTCACAAAAGAGCGTTTTAGGAATAAGTCCTTTAAGTCCTCAAAATATAAACGTCTAAAGACGTAATTCTTGCATGCAGCAAATACCAAACAGATTTAGATATTTGGATACCGTGGGGCCCACTGATGGGGCACTACTGCCCTCATTCTTCTGGGAATAAGTAAAGAAGCACGTCAGGTGCGCAAACGTCCCATAACGGAGAGATACAGACTCATTACGGCCACAGTTTATTCAAACAGATGGGGTTTCAGACAGAAAAAAAACAGGAAACCATATTTTAAATGTTATTTAAAGAATAAAAATAACATCACCAATAAAAAGTGGAAAATCTGTCTTACCTGCTCGAACCACAGTTGTTTGGCACACGGCGAGCGCCACGGTTACCAAGGCGAAGGAGGAGAAGTCCATGCGCCATGGTCTCCGTTTCTTCCGGAAGGGACAAGCTCCAATATCCATAGTGTTGCAGTAGTTCTCCGGCCTGGGTCAGCTGTAAATGTGGGATATGGGGGAAGTTATCCTCTCACAGAAAGCCAGCCGACGAGAGGAGCCCGACTGACCCTTCTGTGAGGAAACAGACAAAAAGGCACGCCTCTGGAGACGTCTTTACCTTTCTCCGGAAACCTTCCTTAATGGTTTACCTATATTAATGCACCAAACCTAAAGACTAAAATGGGTTTGGGGTGAATAAATATATTTGATATTGAAGTTTAATCCCTAGCACTGAAGCCCCATTGACTCAGATTGGGTACGAGTACCCAAAGTGGAGAGAGCAGAGAGAGACCTGGAATCACGCTCTCTCTCCCTTCTCTCTCTTTCCCTCTCTCCTTCTTTACTTTCTCCCACGAAGAGTGAGAGCGGTTGTGTATGTGTGTGTGTGTGTGTGTGTGGAGAGAGAGACAGAGGGGGAGAGAGAGAGAGAGAGAATGGCAAAGGTGGAGAGGGAGGGAGAGGGCGTGCGTAATAGCGCGCCGGGCGCACGTAGAAGTACGTGTACGAGGAGAGTCTGGGAGTGGAAACTGGGTCTTTTCTTATGATCGAGCTGCAAAGATGTTTCAGCTTTTCTGTTAACTCTGAGTTATTAACTCAGTGTCAGTGAAACCTTTTTGTCTTCGTCTCGATTCCCTCTCAAAAGCCCAAATTACTGAGATGAGTATTTATCTTTGCCACGTCCTGCTTTCTGCGTCTGTGCCTGCGACAGGTAAATGCAGGCTTTGTAGAGCAAGCAGGGCTGTTCAGGTAAACTGAGGATGAGACG